GCCGCGTCGGCCGCGGCGTCGGCGCCGCCGCCGCCCGCACCGACGGCGCCCGCGGCGGCCACGACGGCGCCCGCGGCCGCTGACGAGGCGTCGGAGCTTCTAATGCGGACCGTGAAGGTCACATGGGACGCGGCGGTTGGCGACTACACCGCGAAGCAGGTGCGCGCCGCGTTTGCGGGCCGCTGGGCGGTGGATGACGTTATATTGAAAGAGCCGAAGCGGAAAAAGGGTGGCGGCGGCGGTGGCGTTCGCAAGGCGTCAGCGTTGGTGGTGCTGGGGAGCGTCGCGGCGGCCGCGGCTGCGGCCCAGGAGGTGTGCGGGTCGCCGGCCAACCCGCTGCTGGTGGTGCCGTACTACAAAGTGGTGCCGGGGCCCGCGGGCCAGGGCGACGCGGCGGCGGCCGCCGTGGCGGCTGCGGAAAAGCAGCAGCGGCGGGAGGGCGCGGGCCAGCGGCAGGGGACGCCGCCGGGCGGCGGCTCGCCGGGCGGCGGCGCGCGGAGGGAGGGAGGCGTGGGAGCGGGCGCGTCGCTGCCGCCGCCGGGGCGGCCTCTGTTCGCGTGCGGAGTCGGAGCGGGGCGGCCAGCGTTTCCCGTATTCCCCGCTGCAGCTCCTGCGCCGGGCGTCAGCAGCGGCGGCGGCGGCGGCGGCGCGGTCGACAGCCAAGGTGCCGGAGCAGGCGCGCCCGGCGACCCCCGCGGCGCACCGCCGTTCGACAGTCGCGTCCCCGCCGGCGGCGCCGCTCAGGGCGGCGGCGGCAGCAGCAGCAGCTTCCCGAGCGTCAACGGTTTTCCGGGCGCCGCTTCCGGCGGCGGCGGCGGTGGCGGTGGCTTCAGCAGCTTTCCGGGGTTCCCCTCGGGTCCGAATAATGACGGCGGCACTGCGGGGCCACCTACGTCGATAAGGGCGGGGGCGTTCGAGAGCAGCGTGCTGGAGAAGATGCGGCGGCGCGCGCAGGAGCGCGAGCGGCTGTTGAGCCAGTTAGAGGAGGAGGAGGCCGCTGCGAAGCGGCAGTGACGGGCGCGCTCATCTTTCACCAGCTTGTAAACCAATGAGCGGTCACTTGCCGGATGGCCGGTGTTGGCAGCAAGTATCGCAAACGTGCGTGTTTGTGCAAAGATTCACGAGCAGATGAAACAAGTGCGCACACACTTGCAAACTCGACATGCGGTGCTTCCTTGCAGGCCCCTCTTGGTCAAGATGGTGTCAAAAGTACACAGCAATCAGTGATGGCATGGTGTTGAAAAAGCCGATTGCACTGGATGATACGACGCCGCCTGTGAACGCGCACGCAGTGATGTGTATGGCACTTGAGGAGGGGGGCCAGCAAATGGCAAACATGGCAAGTAGCAAACGCACAGAGCTTGTGGGGTGCTCCTGCCCATATCTGGTCCTCTGGTTCCTCTTGATACTGCAATGATGTGCATACTGCTGCTTGCAGCATCTGCCGTGTGCAGTGTCTGCGGTGGGTGGCCACTCCAGGCGCCGCTACTATCATAACGCCGTCGTCACCGCATGCATGCTAGGAATCATGCCGTCTATGGTCCACAGGAGGCTCTGGTCAACAGGAGGCTCTACGCAACTGTGGCCGTGGACATTGGAGCACCTCACCTGGAGTTCCCACCTGGAGTTCCTGCCATCGGACCAACCCTCCGCATGGCCATGTGGCCTGCCTGGCAATCCTTCTGAACAACCGAGTCACGACACAACCGTTCACTGCCCTTTCCGATGTGAGTCCTTCCCACCTTTCGCAGGTGCGTGCTCGCGCAGGGACGCCTGGAAACATGGACGGGTGTGGAGGTGCCCCGTGTTGGTAGTACGCGGTGTGTGGTGTCAGCTTCCATCCAGCCCCACCAAACACTGGCGCGGCCTTTTGTCTCTTTCCCAGCATCAAATTTGTCTTCATGTAATTTGTTTTGTAAAGCCAACGCAAGTAGACGTGCGGCTTAGAAGTTCATCACGAGTATTGGATTACTAGTGACAGGGAGTCATATTTTATGCGAGCTTATCCTCATACGGTTCATTCCCATCGGCATTCGCAACATTTGATTCTAATGATCGTTCGGGCACACAAGCTTCGCGTGCTCCGCAGCCACCAGTCAGCCGGCCGTACATGATCAACACTTCCGAACAAACTCGCCTAAACCAACACACACTGGGTCACAGCTGCTTTCCATTGCATAATAAAACGGCTGATAGCAAGTATCAGGGAGCGCAGTAGACTGTCAGGCCCCAAGACAGGCGAGCAGGTGGGTTCACGCCCCGTGTCATGCGCACCAGGATCCTGCGCACGGCGCCCAGCTGCGCCACGTCCTGGAGCCCCCGTCACCGCAGCTCAAAGCCTAGACTGCTCCCATGAACGCCTGTGCGCGCAGTTTGCGGCGTCCCGATTCATCGCTCGCGCAGCGGTAGCCAAGACCTGCTGGAGCGCCTGGTCAAGATATCTCCGATATGACGGCCCTACCCGACAGCCCCCGGCGGCCCGCCCACTGTACTTGCCAGTCAGTCTGGATCACGCTGTGCTTCGCCATCAGCTTGGGGCTCTTCATATTCTCGCGCCTCACAGTGAACACGCTGTCGCAGGAAGCACCCTTCATCGCGCGGTCATCACATCCAGACGCTCGCGCGTGCGAGGGGCCGCCGTCCCTGCTGCCCACAATCGGCCCGATCTTGGAGGAGCGACACGCCGCGTGCGTGGTGTTTCACAACATCACCAACGCCACAGCGGCGTGGCAGCTCTGGCACTGCCCAGCGGAGCGGCGCTTCAAAGTCATCTCGAACACGACCCGGCACGCGGTCTTGACGCTGCGGCTGCTCGGGTCGCGGCTTGTTTTCACGTCGCAGTCTCGCCGGTTGGAGGGCGGGCTCGAGCATCACTTGGATTATAGAACAAACGCGGCAGGATTGTACCAAGCCCACATTAACTTTCTCCTGGATGAGGCGGTTGAAAACATCACCACCAACTGCGTTTCGGCGGCGCCCGCCGTCACCTTCAATTTCTCCGTCAGCCCGGCGCAGGTCAGCCCCTCCACCCTCGGCCTGTGGGAGTGGGCGGAGCCTCGGACGGACGACTTGTCTCTCTACCGGATCTTGAATGTCCCCCACCCCAGAGCGGCAGTCTTCTCGGACTTTTATGCGGGCCTCCGCTTCAACTACCCGTTCCTGTCCACTGAGAAGGCCGTCCAGTGCATGTCAACCCGAACGACGTGCCTGATCGGCGACTCGCAGATGCGTCACCATTATCAGCACATGCATCAAGCCGTTGTCGGTTATACCACAAACTGCAGCAAGGCCGACGCCACCTGCTCGGCTGCTGCTGGCACCCGGATCTTTTACGTCAAGCTTCACTACGTGGCTGAGTGGGGGGCCGCCGCCGCAAGTGTTGCAGCCCTCAATTGCTCGCACATCGTCGTGAACGTCGGGCAGTGGCCGCTCGGGTTCACATCGGGGGCGCCCTGGTCCTATCTCAAGTACCGCGAGTCAGTGGAGTCCTTGTTCGGCACCCTGAGTGCGCTCCCCGCCCAGGTCTACTGGACCGACACCAACCCGCTGCCCCCGCACTGGTACACGAGATCCTGCCCCCCCAAAGACTGGCGTTTCCCGCACGTCGTGGCGTACTACAATGACATTGCAGCCCTGAGCCTGCGCATGTTCCCTCGCCTCAAGAGCATACGCCTGTTTGACATCGCATTCCAGCTGTGGGACGCGACGTATGATGGCGGCCATTACAACGCCCCCGTTGGGCCGGCCTCGGCGCAGTACATCATGACCGCGCTGTGCTCGTGAATGTTTCTGGAGATCTTGTGCCCCCTCAAAGACTGGCGTTTCCCGCACCTCGTGGCATACTACAATGACATCGCAGCCCTGAGCCTGCGCATGTTCCCTCGCATCAAGAGCATACGCCTGTTGGACATCGCGTTTCAGCAATGGGATGCCACGTATGACGGCGGTCATTATGACTCCCCAGTTGGGCCGGCCTCGGCGCAGTACATCATGAGGGCGCTGTGCTCGTGAATATCCCTATGCATGCAAGCACCATGGCGCTGACGTGCGGTGGTACCATTCTTTGAGATGTCTCAAACAAGACAACCATCGCCGACTGCTTGGCGTACCCCCGCTATGTCAAACCTGTTGACCCTTCAAAAACGCATGTCGCCCCTTGCAAGCCAGAACGGCAATTATGCAAGGCGCGGTCTCGTCTTCCAAGAACTGCTGCCTGCTGTCAAGCTGTGTGCAGGTGCTGCAGCATTTGACCTAATCCTGTGGGGCAAAGATTGTTGATGTGTTGGCTTCAGCGCAACATTATTGTAATCCTGGTTTTGTGGGTCTTTCTTGATGTTGGCACCAGTTGCATGCCTTGCCATCACAAGAACTACATGCATGAGTCAGGACTGGACATCATGCATCTCAAGGTACAGTCACATTACTGATCGGGAGTTCTTGTGGAAAAGCCACACAGGACGAGAACTCCTGTACATGATGCAGACCCTGGATTTATGTCGCAGGTGGCTGGTTGACTTCGTGAAGGCAGCAGTGCACAGCTGTGAATGATGTTCCCGTGGCACTATTCGTGCGCTACACTTGAAATGTGTGTGTGTGTGTTTCAGTGTGTGTGTGTATGTGTGTTGTGTGTGTGTGTGCGCGCGTGCATGCGCGCCTGTACGCATGTTGTGAATCACGGCATATGACCGGCAGTTACTCTGAGCATTCAGCAAGCCAACTATTCTGTATTTTCAAGGGAGACAGGGGGATTCTGGTCTTTCTGGCCACAAGCCGCACAGCCCACGTAACGACTGAAGCATGCCGCCTAGTGGCTAGTTGGGCGTGTTATGCCTGTGCCCCTCCATGGTCTTCTGGCCGCTTGCGCAGTGTGGCGTGCGCAGGGAGCTGGCAGGAAGCGAGTGTCAGCCGCCCTGCAGACATTTCTTTTGCTGTGCACAATATCTGATTGTGGGATGCGTGCGCCAGCGGTCGGTGCGTGAGTGTCCTTGCTATTTTGCTGAGCCTGCCAGACGTAGGGCGCCTTGACCATCCTGCCGCCGTTGGGCGTCTCCCGCAAGTTGAAGTGCGTGCAAGCCAGGCGCAGGCGACATATCAGCTGTGGGCAGATTGTGGTAGAACATCTGCACTTCCAGCTGCACATCTTTTGCACGCACGTGCGCTCACTCACACACACACACACACACACACTGTGCGTACTGTAGTTGCCAACACGCTCCAAGTGTCAGTTTGCTACCTTGGCTCATTTGCACGCCTGGCCCGATTCCACTGGCGCCGCTTGTGCACTACGGTAGATCTCTCCATAGTGTCTTCTGATCAACGCTCCTTCTTGTGCATCCCTTCCGGGTGTGCCACAGTACACATTGCAGATCAAACCCCCCAGGAGTAGCTGAAGGTGTGCGATGTCGATTGATCCACATGATCTTAAATTTAATAAATTAATATGCTGAACGTGGCGTGTGAAAACCTCGAGATCATTGAAACGTTTAGGGCAATTGGGATCAGTGTGTGTGCTGCTGCAGAGGGCGCCGCTGCAAAAAAGCTGTGCGGGCATTTTTGACGGTTTTGATGTGTTCATTGTAAATCAAAAACTATGAAGGCCAGTTGAGATTGTGGAGCACTTTGCCTTGGGTGGCTTGTGCTGGTGTGTCGCTCGAAGACTTTCCTCCTAGTGGATGGGGGGTCCAATCTGGTCAGTTGA